TGATTACGGAAAGCTTGTAAGTCTGTTTTTATCCTATAATTAATTAGAATACCTAAAAGGGGTTCTAGAATTTGTCCAGTGAAATAGGATTCTTTTTAAGCCTTTTTAGAGTATGGGGCCTTAGGTGGAATCCTGAGCCTTTTGAGGTGAGACATTCCCACTTGAAAGGACATGCAGACCAGCCAGGAGTGGCTAGAAGAAAAGAAGATATTTCTTGCTAGAAAGACCAGCAGGTAAAAATAAGAAAGCAGACTGTTGGCTATTTACAAGAATAAGCAAGCGGTTTGCCTGGGAGCCATCAAGACAAGAAAAGTTATTCTTTCAGGGCAATGCCCCCTCCAAGACTGAAACACAATGGGAACACATGGGCAGGCTTATTAGCTCACTGGTGACTGCCTTGGTCTACTTGTGTGGGGGAAAGGCAGCCTTGAAGACATGGGTTGAGTTTGACCACATGCCATCGAACTTGAGATGAGAGAAGAGGAAGGGCTGGTTGGTCCATAGTTTGAGGAGACTTGGGATCTCCTAAGTCCATGGACAATGACCTAGCAACTGGAGGCTAGAGCTGAGAGTGAAATGGCCAGCTGATCAGAAGTTGGGGGCGATGCACAAGAATGCCCAAACTTGTAGATAGTACTCATTTGTCCTAGCTTGGATGGCTTGCTGTGCAGACCTTGACTAGAGAAAGATAAACAAGTTTGATACAGGAAGCAAGTGTAAATTGCTATAATTTGATGAACTTGACCTTTGCTTATAGATGTAGTTGCTCAAAATACCAACTGAGAGGGAAGGAGTCTTCACATCAAGCATCAAGTCTATCCCCTCAGTACACAGGATTGATAGGGATGGGCAACTTAGACATTGGCTACCTAAAATGGGGGGAGGGGATTATAATGGCATGAAGTAGCTGGTTTACAGGTTTTCAGGAGTATGCTTAGTTTCAGAATGAGGGGAGTAGGGCAGAATTCCCACTGAGTAGTTTTCCTCTTGTCTAGTTGGGTTTGGTGAGAGGGAATGGGGGAAGATGGAGATAGGATTCTTTTGATTCAATAGGAATTGTTATCATGACTAATTGCAGTTGTCACAACTGTAAAGATACAAGATGTGTAACAAAAAGGGGGGAGTAGTTAATCTTGTATTCCAGGAACCAAGGACCCTAGGACCATCAAGAGAGAAAAGCATGAATGGAACATAGGACCGTAACTAGAGAAGCAAGGACACCAGAGATAGAAGCAGAGGTGATGGCATAAGAAATAGACTCACAGAACGAGAAAGGCTGTGTGCTGGTGGGCAGGAGGCTGGCTTGCAAAATATGCCCTTTGGTTGTGTAAACAAATATATATTTCTGTGTACATCAAAAAATGAAAAAGAGGGAACAGAGGCAAATACTGTTAACTGATGGTGCATGGATGGGATTGTAGTCATTGCAAT